TATCTGGTGCCCCAGACACCACCCCGCTTCGAAAAGATTGTGAAAAGGCGAAGACCCTTACTTCCTACCTGACAGAAATCTAATGTGTTACAGTAATCCCGGGAGGACCCCTCAATTTGCCCCTGTGCTGCAGCCGCCCCTTTGCGGGGTCGGCGGCAGCGGCGGCAGCCCTTAAATAATTACCTCCACCGTGCTTGTCCCGGGTGACTGAAGTCTGTGCGGAGGACTCTTGAGAAAGGGCCATGGAAGTCCAGATTTCCGGGTGCCCCACCCACCATGGTCTCCCCAAGGATTCTCGTCGACAAGCCTGAACCGCAAAGCAGAGGGTCGTCGGTTGTCGTTCGTTGTTTCTGCTTTTGGTTTTCAGCAAAGCCGCTCCCAAGCCGCTGGAGCTGCTCCAGCGCTTTGATCACCTGAAGAACAGAGGCACTGCACCCTCCAAAAACAGAGTAAAGCTCCTCATCTCAGCTGCGCGCAGCATCTTTTGCCGTGTTCCCATCCAACAGATATCCCTGACAAGAAAATACTTCGAAGCAAATTAAACCATGGAAAACGCAAACACTGGAATGCCTTCAGGCGCTTCACTTCTTGCAACAATCTTTCCTGATGGACACTGGAGGAACAGACATATTGCGCTGTCTGGTTGGTGGTTGGTTTCCGCGGCCTTGTCAGCCTCACTTTGTGCGCTGGCAGGCTGCGAATGAGCCGCTAACTCATCCATGGCTGCATGGCATGAATGACAAGAGCGTTCACAAAACACATGCTTCTTGCTTGTCATGTGCAATCGTGTGCAATGACAGACCAGCCGCCGTGCGCGGCGCCATGCCCATAGTGTAGTAGCCGAACTGTTTAGGTAACCATGGCAAGACCTGCGCAAATGAACTTTCCGTGTGCTCTTCCGTACCATTCGGGGGTGAATGTTCGCTAACGTTGATTCTGGATGTCTGCTGTCCTCTGTACTGGACATCCTACATCTGCGTGGCTTTGGGCACAATGCCAGCAGCCACAAAAAATGGCGCAGTTGTCAAGCGCATGAAGCGGCAGGTATGCTGAGCTATCGATGGAAGAGAAGCAAGCCATCAATGTCAGTGAAAGGTTGATTGCGCTGTGAGCCGAGAAGCAGGTGACTGTTGAAACTGTTGCGGCCTCGGTGTTGACATACAGAAGCAAGGCTGCGCAGAAGAAGTGGATTGGTTCAGTCTAGGCAAAGCTCAGAACCAGAGATGTGACGCAGGATCCGGCTGCGAAGGATCAAATCCCTCAGCTCAGGGTGTTGCTGAGGAGGACTTGTCATACATGTTAGCGCGGACGTTGGCTTAGTTGGCTGAACTTGCGGCATTCAAGGCAAAATGTCGCATCGTGGCGTGGGGAAAATTACTTCGAGCAGGAGCCAGCAAATGACCGTTCAAGCCAGAATGCGCCAGAAGCTTACAGCGTGGAGCGTCTGTCAGGGCGAGTCCAAGGCCGCTGCGACAGGTTTGCTTGCTGACGCTTTAACGCTGAAAGAAAGCGTGGATCAGCTCACTGGTTTGAGGTACTCCATTGATATGATCTGTGATAACTCAAGCGCGGTGACCCAGATTGCAAATCCAACTCTCAATGGGATAACACGGAGAACATGACATATTGCATTGAGAGCCAGCCGGAGCATTGAGACCAGATCGCACCTCTTCGCAACTCAACCGATTACGACATCAGGCACGTCAGACAGGACTCAGGACCCTCGCAATGCTTCGAAGGTCCTGGCCGAGCCGGACACCGGACTCTGGACGCGTACGCGGCGTACACTCACGCACTCACGCAGTTCTGTGTGGGGTGCGGAGTCTGCCTTGATGCTGTACAGCTGCTGTACTTTTGCTGTACTTTCGTTGCATCGCTTGATCCAAAGTCGTGATTTCTGACACGTACGCACAGCGTACCAACACAGCAATCATTGCCTCCATGAGTGGTGGTGCTGTGGAGGGAAACCAAGTACGTTGCTTGCGAAGTGTTATGGAGGAGTGTTGCTTGCATGAGAGAATATTAGCATGGCTCCTGGTGCAGGACCATAAACTATGCCAATGATGTTGTTGGCTCAAGGATGAAGCACGGAGTGAAAAGATGTGTTGGGTAGGCTTACTTCCGGGGATTGATGAGGCGTGAGACCTCCCATCACGTCGTATGATCCTCTAGACCTACCATGAAGTATCAGACACGCCAGGCTCTAGGCACTCCAATCATCCCCCAACCTGAGTCATTGTTTGGTTCATAATTCCCCTGACCAACCCTCACAACACCAACAAGAATCACCAAGCATCTTGTACAAGTCTGAGGTGTTTTGTGCGCTCACTTCCTCACAGCTCTCGCGAGGGACCAGGCGGATGCCACGCGGCGCCAGGAGCACCGGCCTGGCTTTCACATCTTTTTGCCTGGACCTTTCACTGGCAGCAATGGCACTGTGATTTTTTGGCACTGTCTCGCAGTGTTTACGTGACAGGCTCCAGTAGGCAGACGTGAGCCGTCCAGTCAAGGAAGCCTTCGTGTGCAAGGTCATAGCAAGGTCCAAGGTGCTGTGCTGCTCACGGTGTCACATGGTGTCACAGGCATTGCCCGCATCGCCCTGGCCTCGCTTGAAAGCGGCCTAGACAGCAGACCGCCGGGACCTCCAAATTTGCAAAAACATAGGTTTCACGAATGACAATTGTCGCTCTGGCGGACCTGCCGGCCAGACCCAGGCTCTGGCAGCTCGGCCACTGCCCTGACACAAATGCTGTGAGCCTTACAACTTGGGCTATTCTTTCGCCCGCTCTTTCAAAGGGCCTTGGAACTGGGCTCAGGTCCCCCTCACCTTTGGCCAAGCCGCAGTGAGAGGTATTCAAAGGCATTCAGGGCTGCTTGACAGCTTAGCTAAGGGCACCAAAGAAGCTCATCCAGATCGACGTGTGCATCCTAAGACATGCTTTCCGGAAATTTCCAGAAGGTGCCGTGTCTGCAGGTCAAGTCTGTAAGTTCAGCCACGCTGCAATAGTGATGCGCGCGATTGCACGCGTGTAAGCTGAAATTCCTTCCGCACGACATCTTGTCTCGGGGCCCCTGCCAAGGCTGGCAGCTTGGGTAAGTCGCCTCCAGCAAAGAGAAATAAAATGAACTTCCAACAAGATGTCGGGTTGAAGCACCTGCAGAATTGCCCAGGATCAATGTCCTCTCCTAGCACCAAGCTCTGCTTCAGCTGCAGAAGACGCGAAGCATGGCGCAGCCGTGAAAATTCTTCCATCCTTGGATCGGTAGACCTCCTGCTCCATCGGGATGCCCAAGGCAGCAGCAATGCCAGGGAGGCCGCCTCTTGTTCAAGTATGTCAAGTCTCGCCTGCCCTAGCCGTAGCTCTGCGCCTCCTCCTTGCCAGAGCCGCAGCAGTGTGGCCTCGAGGTGGCCAGACATTACCGGTCTAAAGTTCACTGCGCTCTCCCCAGACGTTTCTGCATCTCTTTGGCTATTCAGGTCAGGTCTTTGCTGCTTTTGCTGTGAGTTTCCAACTGTCCAAGCTGAGGTCTTCTTTTTGCAATTCCGCATTCATAAGACTCTGATTTCTGTAGTATACTGAGCTGAGACATGCCTTTCAATGTCATGAAGGGAGCTTTCAGGCGGCGGCGATTCGAGGTTTCACGTCCAGGGGCACCTGTTACCGCCACCACATGTAGGTGTTGTTCAGGTGTTGTTCAAGTGTTATTCAAGTGTTGTCAGGGTGCCAGCGCCAGTGGCCGGAAGGCGCAGAGCCTTCAAAGACCCAAAAGCAAAGCGGGACGCGGATGTGCGAAGCAGAGAGAAGCTCCCGACACGTCGGGGTCCACCAGGAGAGCCCGGCAGATCGAGAAGACCTCTTAAACAGGAAGCGAGAGGGGCTTCGGCTTCGCTTCCCTCGCTTCCCTCGCTTTCGCACTCCACCCGCGGCCTGCGAAGAGCCCGGCCCCAGGCTCGTGGGCTCCCGGCCAGGCTCCAGGCCCACCGCTGACACCAATGCCTCACACAACTCGCGCGGGGCCCCCGTGAAGCCAAGCCTTAGACAAAGTTTAAAGCCAACAGCTCAGACTTCGACTCAAAAGCTTACCTTTACCTTTACCCTTATTGCATAGACATCCCAGAAGCTGCTCAGAGGTTGAAGGCCCTGTGCCAAAGGCCACCGGCACCATGGGGAGCATCTTCAGCGTGAGTCCTCCAGGCCGGAAGACGGGGGGGAAGCAGAGCTCATCGGCTCACCGGCTCACCGGCTCGCCGGCTCGCCGGCTCGCGCCTGGCGGAACCAAGACGGCGGGCATCTTCTCGGAGTGCTCCTCCCCTGCAGGGCCTCACACAACTCAGAACCGCAGTTCATTCGCCGCGTTCGCCGCGAGAGCATGAGCGCCAAAACGGTACAAGCCCGTTGTCCAGCCTGTGGGAAGAATGACCTGAAACAAGGCAAGGCTCCTGGGCCACTTCTAAGAATTACTTTTGCACTGGGGACTGCGAAGGGAACTCATCCACGTCGACAGACTTCCAAATAAGAAAGTACCATGCTTCCAGGAACTTCCAAGTGCATCAGCTGCGAACCCAGATCCCTGCACAGGGCCTGCGCAGTCAAACCCAGGAAGCTCCGCAGCACACGCCTGGGAGCCGATGTCATTGCTGATATTCCGAATGCCCATCTCAGAAACTCTCAAACGCAGGCTCGTTCTGGGCGGAGACATGGACAGCCCGCCTTGGCGAGGCTTGGCAAGGCTCGGCGAGATTGCAATAATTGCATCATTCCAATGTGAGAGGGCCAAGCGCAAGCGGCAAGCGGCAGCCTGCCCAAATCTGCACTTTCGGCTCTGGCCACACCCATTGCAGTCTTTGTCACTGCATTCGATGCCTTTGCGTAGGCGAAGCTCCGAAAAGGTAGACCCCACCTTGTGACCAACGAACCGGGCAAAATCTTAAGCAGTTAAGCCGCGCCTTGAAGTGCTCTGGGCGAAGGAAGCAAAGATTCTCCTGGAACTCAATGAACTCTGCCGTGCCGGTCGTGCTGGGCCGGGTTTCGTAGAAACTCAGCTTTTGCAGCCGCAAGGCCTTGAAACGCCCAAAAACAACGACTGTCTAGATCCACAGTTCATTTCAGGGCAGCGTCAACAAGTTTTTTTTTACGAACTTCAAAACCTGGCCATTTGTTGGACAACTTGTTACGAGAAGATCCGGAGGCTTCTATGCCAGAGTTTCTGGGACCTCTGTTACGTGTGCTGCTTTGGAGCATCCCTTCCTCAGATTCCTCCTCCTCCTCCCTCCTCCTTTCTACTAGGTGCGCGCCTCGTATGTGACGCTACGTTCTCGTTGCATTCCTAGTGGTTTTATGATGGATTTTTGCTCGCTCGAGCCCGAACAGACCTGGTTCCTTTTTTTGCTCTTCTCTGAGATCTACCATTCTTAGTGTTTGGCATACGCAAGTGTAAGGATTGCTGATTTGATTTCATCGTCGCCCTATCAGTCCAAGCTGCGCCCCATTAGCCCAAAGGGTTTGATCTTACCATCGCCCAATTCGTCCAAGCTGCGCCCCGTTAGTCCAAGGGCTTGAGGAGTTCTGATTTACTCATTAAAAAACGAATGCATCATCAGCATCTGAAAAGAGGGAACGGCTAGGGTGAGGCAAGGTCTAAACCCTATTTTTGCGGACATTCATCCAAAAACAAAACCTAAACCTGGCCTACCTAAACCAGGCACGACACTACCTGGCCAAACCCCCAAAATCCATCAGGCCGAAGCGGTTCTGGGATGTTCTAGGCCTTAGGCTTAGCGGCGCGCCATTCGTCTATGGCTTGGGTCTGGAAGGTAAGGGGATTTAGGATAAGGTGGGGAGTTTCACTCGTATGGTTTTGGGTATAAAGGATGTTTGTGAATCCTGAATATTTGATATTGGGTATGCTTTTGTATGGGTTTTGCCTATGCTTTTGGGGACACAGTATTAGTTTAATGGATGTCTGTAATAACAAATCCATGGGGCTTAGGGATCAGGGTCTAAGAGTCTAGCAGCAGCTAGCTGATGCTGCACAATTTTTCCTGGGACGTTCAGTCCGTGGCTGTGCTTGAAAGTTGCGCTCCTTCTCAAAACAGACTTTCGGATGGATACCGAGGAACCCCAATGGAACTGAAATGGGTGGCCAGCGTGGCACTTTGTACATGCGAGATACGTCACGAACGAGACGCGGACCTACCACTACCACTACCACTACCGCTACCACTAACCCAGGAAGCTCGAGATAACAACCAATACAGGACCACAACACTACGCCAGCCCCAGAGAAAACCACAGAGTCCTCAGATCGCTCTCGCGCTCTCTCTCCCCGCTCTCCCTGTCGGCCTTCTTTCAAAGAGGCCTCTCCTCCTTTCTCTCTTTCTCGGTGCTCTGCCCTCGCTGCTCTCGCTGCTCTCCTGACCTCCTGGCGCTGGGATCGTTGGCAGGTCTGGTTCAGCAGCGCCGCAACGTCTCGAAGAGAAACGATTGCCTCAGACTTGGCAGATTTCAGAAAGGACTTGACACAATGACTTCACCAGATTTCACAGACACCTGCTGCATGTTCACGAAGGTGTTGCTGAGGCGGCCAATATACTTCCCAACACCTCAAGTGAAACCCAACGAGCACAAACGGTAGTAACAGCACTCAGCATCCCAAAGCCTATGATGGAAACAGGGCCTGATAGCACCAGTAGTTTAAGGACGACTAGACACTCAAATAGATTTTGCAGAGGGCGTAGAAGGTGCCGACTTCCATGGCGCCAATGCCATAGGTCTGGTATTCAGCCAGTGCAAAAGAGCCGAAAGCCAGCATCAAGCAGTATGCAACGCCTCGGATGGAGCCAATCCTTTGTTCTGCCTACAAGCTGCAAGTATATTTGGGGGCCGGCTGTCATTCTCTTTCTGTTATGCCAGGTGGCCCTGTATCCAATGTGTTATCCATGCTGTGTCATTCATTGCATCACGAGCATCCCAGTGGGCAGGGACAAAAGCAGCCTTAGCGACAGCAAAAACTCAGAAGAAAGGTAACATGAGGGGTCCGGGGCGGCCAAGCAGCATTTTGCGACTGAACCCGCGCTTCGATTTTAGCTTTTTCCGACTGTAACAGGCCGGTAAACTGCCTCCAGCTTGTGAATACCTTGCAAGAGGAACGTGATGCCATGGCTCTTGACTCACCCTGGAACTCATACTCCAACTTGCCAAATCACTGCATCTGGGAGACCCAAACACACGATTTGAACCATCCGCATTCTTGCTTCTTTCTTGCAAGGACTGCCACCCAGATGATCTTCATCCGAATCCTGAGATCGAGATGCGATGGACGCTGGAGCAGTTGCATTCGGATTCGGCCCAGAATCCACACGCCAAAGAAGCCAGCCACGATCATC